TCTTCAAATGTAAACAAACTTGTTTCTCTGAGCAATTGGCTGAACAAGAAGAAGACTGAGTGAACTTGCAAGCTCTAAATTTTACATTGTTTTATTTCTGAATGCAGGTTTTTGGGTTTTTTTACATACTTCTACATTTGTAAGTTCAACTTTCATAATAAAGAGATTGCACTACAGTACATGTATTGGGTGAATTGAAAAAAATATTTCTTTTGGATTTTTACAGTGCAAATACTTTTTTAATCACGTGATTAATTGCAATTAATTTTTTAATCACTTGACAGCCCTATTTAAAACATTCTCTTTCTTTTATTTAAAACCATTTGCAGTCATCCCTATAGGTGAAGTTCTTCTTTTTCGAAACATCCCCTTATCTCATTAATTATTCTTTGAACCACACATCCTCCCTACTTCATTCCTTCTGGCCTTATAAATTATAAATGTCTAGTTGGCAGCCGGTATCAAGCGGAGTGCCCCAGCGGTCAGTTTTGTTCAACATCTTAATTAATGATCTCGATGATGGGATGGATTACACCCTCAGCAAGTTCGCAGATGACATTAAGCTGGGGGGGAGGGTGGGAATAGGGTCCAGAGTGACCTAGACAAATTGGAGGATTGAGCCAGAAGAAATCTGATGCGGTTCAACAAGGACAAGTGCAGAGTCCTGCACTTAGAATGGAAGAATCCCATGCACTGTTACAGGCTAGGGACTGACTGGCTAAGCAGCAGTTCTGCAGAAAAGGACCTGGGGATTACAGTGGACGAGAAGCTGGATATGAGTCAACAATGTGCCCTTGTTGCCAAGAAGGTCAACGGCATATTGGGCTACATTAGTAGGAGCATTGCCAGCAGATCGAGGGAAGTGATTGGAGGATGTGGACAAATTGGAGAGAGTCCAGTAGAGGGCAACGAAAATGATTAGGGGCTGGGGCACATGATTTACGAGGAGAGTCTGAAGGAACTGGGGTTATTTAGTCTGCAGAAGAGAAGAGTGAGGGGGGATTTGATTGCAGCCTTCAACTACCTGAAGGAGGGTTCTAAAAAGGATGGAGCTCGGCTGTTCTCAGTGGTGGTAGATGACAGAACAAGGAGCAATGGTCTCAAGTTGCAGTGGGGGAGATTTAGGTTGGATATTAGGAAAAACTTTTTCAGTAGGAGGGTGGTGAAGCACTGGAATGGGTTACCTAGGGAGGTGGTGGAATCTCCATCCTTAGAGATTTTTAAGGCCCGGCTTGACAAAGCCCTGGCTGGGATGATTTAGTTGGGATTGGTCCTGCTTTGAGCAGGGGGCTGGACTAGATGACCTCCTGAGGTCTCTTCCAACCCTAATCTTCTATGATAAATCACAACAACCAACCTAAAGTGATACATTTTTGTTCATTCTTCTGAAACTTACAAGTGGTACTCTTTTCTGTCTGTTTCCTAGCACTTCTGTTTCTCCTCCTGGTTCTATCAAGCTGTCACTTATCTTACAAGAGTTGAAAAGCAAATACTGATCTTAAAAAAAAATTGGGGAGGGTGGGGAAGAAATCCTGGCATTTAGCAGCCATCAAGACCAGCTTTGGTTCCCTTGTAAAATGATTAGATGAGTATTAGAAAAAAATCACTCCAGAGGAAAAATATGATTCTATTATTTTCAAGGCCTTCCTTTTACTTCCTAGTCAGTCTTTCTTTACAACAGATATTCTTCCTTAACCTTAAGGTAACTCTACCTCTTTAATTTTGTATTTATCCTACAGTCATTAATGGTGTCTAGAAATTTTATCTCTGCATTCCTTTCTGAGGTGACATGTACCCAGTCAACATGGGAATAGTTGAAATCCCCCATTATTATTGGGTATTCTATTTCGGTTGCCTCTCTAATCTCTGTCAGCATTTCACAATCAAACTCATCCTAGTCAGGTGGCCAGTACTATATTCCTACTGCTCCGCTCTTTTTATTCAAGCATGGAATTTCTAGCCATAGAGATTCTATTGTACAGTTTGATTTATTTTAGATTTTTACTATATTTGTGTCATAAATATAAAGGGAAGGGTAAACACCATTAATTCCCTCCTGCCCAGAGGAAAAACCCTTTTACCTGTAAAGGGTTAAGAAGCTAAGATAACCTCACTGGCATCTGACCAAAATGACCAATGAGACGACAAGATACTTTCAAAGCTGGAGGGGGGGGAAACAAAGGTTCTGTCTGTCTGTGTGATGCTTTTGCCGGGACCAGAGCAGGAATGCAGGTCAGGACTCCTGTAAAGAGTTAGTAAGCAATCTAGTTAGATATGCGTTAGATTCTGTTTTGTTTAAATGGCTGATAAAATAAGTTGTGCTGAATGGAATGTAGATTCCTGTTTTTGTGTCTTTTTGTAACTTAAGGTTTTGCCTAGAGGAATTCTCTATGTTTTGAATCTGATTACCCTGTAAGGTATTTACCATCCTGATTTTACAAAGATGATTCTTTTACTTTTTCTTTAATTAAAATTCTTCTTTTAAGAATCCGATTGCTTTTTCATTGTTCTTAAGATCAAGGGTTTGGGTCTGTGTTCACCTATGCAAATTGGTGAGGATTTTTATCAAACCTTCCCCAGGAAAGGGGATTTAGGGCTTGGGGGGATTTTGGGGGGAAAGACGTTTCCAAGTGGGCTCTTTCCCTGTTCTTTGTGTAAAACTTTGGTGGTGGCAGCTTTTAGCCTAAGCTGGTAAGAATAAGCTTAGGGGGGGTCTTTCATGCAGGTCCCCACATCTGTACCCTAGAGTTCAGAGTGGGGAAGGAACCTTGACAATTTGACTCTGCTTTTGTGACACTGAGCCAGCGAGGGTTAAGCAACTAGCAGGCTGGTTGAACTGAAAACAATCCATAAGGACATGTTAGAAAAGTATTGAAATGGTAAACAGGGCCATTTCTTGTAGATAGTTGTCAGAGCCATGTAAAATAGACTAAAGTTCTTGAAATATAGCCCTGTATTATTAGAGGATTCATAGACACTAACTGTATTTGTCTGTGTTTATCTATATCTTGTTAGAAGTTAAAAATGTAACCAGATTAGCTTGCGGATGCTAATTCTCTTTCATGTCTTAATTACATTATATTATACATGTGGATGGTTCAGTTAACATTAAGATCAAAAATGTAAGATATTGCAGGAAATAATAATACGGTAAAAGCTGTTTTAGCCAGCCCTGTACCAACCGGAAAGCTCTATAAACAGCATTTCTAATCTTCAAAGAAAATCCGGTTTATAGTCTGGTTCGCGCAGGGCCGGCAGCAGCAGGCTCCCTACCTAGCTCCGTGTGGCTCCCCGCAAGCGGCAACCTGTCCCAGCTGCTCCTAATCATCTTATATATATATATATATGTATTTGTACAACACCCAGCACTATACCCAGACTCCTATGCACTACTAGAATACAAAGATTAAAGAACCTCATTTTATCTTTTATAAATCACCTTTAAGTGGTTTGCCCAAAATCACACAACAAATTACGCTCTTCTGCTTTAACCAGTACAGGGAAGTCCTTTCAGAGAGAGGAGGCCTTGTGACTTCGTGTTTAAACAATCCTAAAAAGTTAAGCGTTAATACTTTTTGCTCTCCCCATCAACAGCTGCTTGTATTGAAAAACCCGGGAAGTGGGTGGGCGTAAGCCCACCCACTGCTGAAGGCCCCTCCCCCAGCCTAGCGGGAGGGACCACTGGACTCAGGGACCAACTGATTTCGGGTGACAACTAATGAAAAACAGGGATCGGAGTGAGGGTCAGAGGTTCAAAATGTGGATACTGAGCGGGGACACAGAGCAGAGAACCCTGGTCAGCGCCCACTGCTCCTCAAAGCAGTCAAGGGAGCCAGCAGACGCTGCCCAGTGGAACTCTGCCTGGATGCGTGAAACTAGAGAGGAAAGGAAATAGGCCCTGCAGTCGCACAGCACCAGAGCCAGGAGGAGGTTGATGAGGAGGTCTCGCGACTTCATGGGGCCATGGATAGGGTGTCCAAAGAGGAAGAAGTGTGGGGAAAAGTGCAGCCAGAACCTCAACAAGAGGTTCTGGAGGAGCCGGAATAGGGGCTGCAACCTGGCATCAACAGCTGCTAGCCAGTCAAACCTTCCCAACATAGCTTGGTCGTGCACATTAGCACACAACACATCCATCGTTCAGTTTAGAGCCCAACATCCCTTAGCTCAACAGGATGAATTCTGGCTCCATGAGAGTAACAAGAGAGACTGGGCTGCTTAGAGTGTAACCAGACACACACAGTTAATTGTACAGGATACTCCAGCTTGAGCATCGTGGCCATTAATACAGCCGGGCTCCATCTCGGGGCTGAATCGGCTGCTCCTCCCAAGGCACAGTACTGCGAGCCGGGACCTGCAGCCTTCAGGAGAAGGGGCCCTTCGGGCAAGACGCAGCATCCTGCCCTGCAGCTGGAAGTCTCTGTAGGCCACTGCTCGGGCTCCTTGGGCATGAGGCAGCCTATGCTAGGGGTCAGGGTGTGCCTCTGTCTCATGCTGGGACCCACCCTGCACAGACCACAACGCAGCTTGGCACCGCAGGCTCCAGCCGCCCCAGGAGCCATGGGCCTGAGGGGGAGACAGCCCCACCCCCTGCAGCGGACCCCCCAGGTGCCCACGGCCTCAGCCCCGCGGCCGCACTGCCAGGGCCCGGCCCAGGCCACGAGCCCCGCCCCCAGCCCACGCGCTCCCAGCCGACGCGCTAATTATAGCACAGCAGCGCCGGGAGAGCCCTTAAATACAGCCCGCGCCTGGCCCCGCCCACCGACCCCGGGCATTGGCCAATCCGCTCAGAACGCAGCCGCCATTGGTTGGTACCGCCTCCCCTGCTGCGTGCCCATTGGATAAATCGCGGCGAGCTCGCCGTGGTGACGGGATAAAAACGTGAAGCCGGAAGAGAGTCACGTGGAAGTAGCGGCGTTTCCCTTACTGGCTGTGCTCCTGCCGGCTGGTTCTGCCCCGCCTCTGGCGGTTGGCGCTTCTCTGATTGGCTGACCTTGCCTGTCTCACTTTCTATTGGTAGAGGGGAGCAAGTAGGCGGGGTTTAGCCACCCCTTGCCCCGCCCCCCCGCCGTCGCCATTTCGTTGCTGGAGCGGACGGAGCCGGGGCTCGCGGGGTAAGCGCGGCGCGGCGCGGGGCCGGGTCCCGCCGGTGGGGCGCTGCCGTGTCCGGGCGGGCCGGCCCCGTGAGGGGATCCTGCCCCACCGGCCCGGGAGCGGCCTGCGCGGGGAGCCGGGACTCAGCCCGGCCGGGGCGGCCTCCGAGCCCAGCGGGCCGGGGGCGTCGGGCAGCCGGGTCCGAGGCCAGGGGGCGCCGGGCCGCTCAGTCCAGAGCCGCTGGTCCCTCGCGAGGCCTGTTTGTCCGCGGGCGCCTGCCGTTCGCTCCGGGGCCGCGTGCGCCGCCCCGCCCAGCCTGGGGTCGCCGCCCGCCGAGCGGGGCTCCCGAGGCTGGCGGCGAGTCTTCTCGCCGCGGGAGGCGGGTTCCCTTCGCCCCGGTCCCTGGTCGCCAGCAGCGTCTCTGCTCGCAGTGACTGCAGCTGTGGCTGCTGCCAACGTGCAGGCTCGTGCCAGGCGGCGGCCGGACTCGCGCTTCTGGGTGCAGCCCTCATGCCCCTTGCTTGGCATGAAGTTACTCCTGTGCCCGGAAGGAGAGCGGGGGCCGCTGCAGGTGACCAGACCGCAGATGTGAAAAATCGGGATGGGGCGGGGGGAATAGGAGCCTATATAAGAAAGACCCCAAAATCGTGACTGTCCCTATAAAATCGGGCCATCCGGTCACCCTAGGTCCAGTATGTGAAGTATATAACCATGTAAAAAGAACAGGAGGACTTGTGGCACCTTAGAGACTAACCAATTTATTTGAGCATAAGCTTTCGTAAGCTACAGCTCACTTCATCGGATGCCTTATTAGAGCAACTTAGAGACTAACAAATTTATTAGCGCATAAGTGCTCTAATACCTTTGTTCTAAGGCTCTAAGGTGCCACAAGTCCTCCTTTTCTTTTTACGGATACAGACTGACACGGCTGCTACTCTGAAACCTATATAACCATGTAATGAGACTATAACATTATGCAGACGCTATGGCTTGCAATCAAGATTGCATGGTTGACAGGAAATCTGGCAGTTCCTAATTTTTGAGTGCTTGACCTTGCAACCCAGCCAACTTAAGTTTTTTAATTTGGCCCAGTGTACTAACATTACAGCTGTACATAATCTGTTTTTACCTTTTTAGACACATGAGAAACTACTGTAGCAAGCCTAACCTTCCCTGGATGTTCTCTGGTTTCTCTTCTAATGCTGCCTCTCTTCAGGTTTGCATAGGTCTTGGGAATTCCCTGGATACCCAAGTTTCATAAATTTGATGAGTTGTGATGTTAGGAACAACAATCCTACACTACCTCTAGGGGATGGACTTAACTCAACCTTTCCCATCACTAGTTACTTTAATTCTAAGGCGTTCAAAAAGGGGGTTCAAAAAGTAGCCAGTTGAGACTAGGGAGAAGCACACATATGACTGATGTATTGCAAAGGTGGCCCTAACAAAGCACTTGCTCTCGTAGAAGCTAGCTTCACATGTGAATCTCTCTATCGCAGTATAGAAGCTGTATGCACAATAGTCTGTTTTAACTTACTTTCAGGTTTCAGAGTACCAGCCGTGTTAGTCTGTGTCTGCAAAAAAAAAAAGGACTTGTGGCACCTTAGAGACTAACAAATTTATTTGAGCATAAGCTTTTGTGAGCTACAACTCACTTCATCAGATGCATGCTGTAGCTCATGAAAGCTTATGCTCAGATACATTTGTTAGTTTCTAAGGTGCCACAAGTACTCCTTTTCTTTTAACTTTGTTACTGCTGGTAGTTATGGGTACCCAACTACCCATAACTACCAGCAGTAACAAATATAGTCTCAACAGAATGTAGTCTCAACAGAAGGCAAAAGTCAGAAGAAGACTGTGGTCAGAAGTTTGGCTGTGTGTTTTTCCTGTGTGCTGTCCCAGCTCTGCGCAGACATTTAGCACAGCAGACCTTGAGTGAACTGCCCAGTGACCACTAAGGTACGAAGGCACTCAGCCAGGTTTATTGTTGATGAAGCACAGTAATAGCAGACTCTATAAGGATACTAAGACATGTAACTTAACAAGGGGAAAGAATATTCATGTCCATTTTAGCTACACATACACTGACCTGGGAGAGCTACGGTTGCTGTATGTGGAGCTGTAGTTGTCCTGCCTGTCCCCCTGCATGGAGTGATAGGAGTAGAGATGCAGCCCTGTATCCCATGTAGAATGGTGCGGGGTGGGGAGTGGCGTGAGGTGCTAACATGGAGTTCTCCATGGACTGCAAAGGAAGGTGAGCTCAGGATTGTTGAACCTGTAGGTCCACAAGAGTCTGCAACATCTGTGCTTGCTGGTGAAGACCTGTTATGTCCTGGTGCATCTCCCTCTCTTTTTCCTGGGCCTTTCTCCTGTCTGTCCTTTCCTCCTCCATATAGTGTGCAGTATTCACCCTCCAAGCAGTGATGAGCTGCCAGAAGCTGAAGAACCGGTTCCTTCACTTGCTCTGGGTCTCCGGCAGCACTGAAGGACCTGCTGCCGAAGGCCCGGAGCAAGTAAAGGACCTGCCACCAAAGGCCTGGAGTGCCGCTGAGTGAGTAAAAATTCTTAGGGGAGCTTCCCCAGCCAAGAGCTCAGGTGGGACAGAAAGGACAGTTTGCCCACCCCTTTAACAATCAGTTCTAAACTGGCTTCAAAATTCAACAACCAGTTCGTGCGAACTGGCTCCAGCTCACCACTGCCTCCAGGCCCTCTGTTCATGGTCTGATGTAGCACTGGCTTGTGGTATCTTGCTGAACATGTCATCCCAAGTCCTCTTCTTTCTTCTCCTTATCTGGCTCAGGCGTTCTGTGGGTGTAGAGGCGGAACCCCTCAAGGTCACAACAGCAGTAGTAGCAGATAAAATACACAAGTACCATTGTCAATATAGTCTCAACAGAAGGCAAAAGTTAAGGTTCAGAACTCCCTCCCATTGTTCCTCTGAAGTTTTTAACAAGACATGCTTATTTGAACTTCACAGCGCCAGCCATGGTGATTATGGCCCGCTAGGGGTGAGGGAAACGAGAGAATTGCTCGGTTGCATGAAATTGAGCGTAGGGCAATGCACTGAATATGAGCACTGTTTTCCACAGGCAGTGGTGGTTTTAGCTCATATCTCACTCCTGAGGGTAACAAAGGGACAGCACAGCTGCTGCTGGCATCCTGAAGCCATCTGGGCCCATACACTGCTAACCTGTTTACTGCAATGGTGCTGCTCCAATTGGTGTGGGAAAGTGACCCACTGCAGAGGAAGAAATAAGGCTGCCATCCCTAGAAACCTTTGGCAGAGGATTGCACAGTACCTCCATGAAAGTTTCATTGAGGTTCATTCAGGATATCCCTGTGTACATAAACTGTTCTTCATGACTTCCGCCCCCCAACCCCACCCTCCAATTTTCCAGAGGAATGAAAAGCAAATAACAGTTCTGTCTCTTTGTACCACTACCTCTTCCAGTATGAGTAAATTAGTGAAAAGGTAATAATGGTGTCCTGCTAAGTTTGGGGCACCATCAATACATTATTGTAATGGGAAATGCACTCACATACTTACCTGAGGTTCCTTCCCCTGCGCTGGGCTTGCTTATGCTCAACTGACTGGACTGAGGTAGAGTTGCAAACAGATCCTGCCTTATGGCATGTCTGTGTCTCAGGATCCTTGGAGGTATCTACGGTGGTGTGCAGAGTTGTGGTGAGTCCACCAAGTATGGCAGGCAGCTCTTTGTAAAAGTGACAGTTCTGCATCTTGGCACCAGATTGACTGTTGGCCTCTGTGGTCTTCTGGTCTGCCTGCTGCAGCTCCTTCACTTTCACATGGCATTGCTGCTGCTCCCTGTCATACCCCCTTCTGCACTCTGCTCCTAGATGTCCACGTTTCTACAGCTGGTCAACAGCTGTGCCTGCAGAGGTTCTTCTCCCCGTGGTCCAAGAAGATCCAATACCTTCTGTCTACTCCAGGCTGGAGTGTGTAGCTGGCATGGTTGGCTGGGCAGTTGCACACAACAGTGGAGAGCAGCTAGGTGTGCTTGCCAAGCTGGACAATTGGGTAAGGGATTTCAAAAATGTGTAGGGTTTCAAAGGGTTGAGGGGAGGGCTACCAGCCAAACAGACAGCCTGGACAAGATTAGTTTCACTTCCTCCTCTGGTTACGGAGTCTCTTCTGTGGTGGCTCAACCCTCAAGCAGTATACGGAGAAGTGTCTTCTCCAGGCCTTGGCTCTCAATGTCTCTAGTCATGGACACATCAGTGTTCAGGTGGGGATCACATCTAGGGGCCCTCAGGTCTCAAGGCTTCTGGTCCCAAGCAGAGCTCTCACTTCACATCAATGTCAGGGAGCGGAGAGCGTTTTGCCTAGCCTGTGAAATGTTCCAATCCCATCTGGAGGGCAGATGTATTATCAGTCATGACAGACAATACAAAGGCAATAGTTTATATAAACAGACAGGAGAGGAGCGTGCTCCACCCTATGTCAGGAAGTCCTCAAGCTGACTTCTGCATAGCCCCCTCAATACACCTAGAGGCATCTTACCTTCTGGGATCCCAGAACGAGCTGGCGGACCATCTCAGCAGATCCTTCCACAGCCACAAATGGTCCATTCGTCTGGATGTTGTGAACAGCATCTTCAACAGTGTGGAGTTCCCCATTCACAATGAGACTCAACAGGAAGTGTCAGCAGTTTTGCTCCTTCCTGAATCACAGCCCAGGCTGAATCGCGGACGCATTTCTCCTTCCCTGGAAGGACCGCCTGTTATGTGTGTTCCCGCACTTCCTGCTCATTCACAAGGTCCTGCTCAAGGTCAGAAGGGAAAGAGTGTCCATCATACTGATAACTCCAGCCTGGCCCTACCAGCACTGGTATACAACACTCCTAGAACTGTCGGTAGTCACTCTGATCACCCTGCCACTGGTGCTAGACCTAGTCACTCAGAACCACAGCCAACTCCAGCATCCCAGTCTTGAGTCTCTCCCCTTTACGGCATGGAAGCTTCATGGCTAAACCCCATGGAGTTGGCGTGCTCAGAACCC